CCCCAAAACCCCAAAACCCCAAAACCCCGTGTGCTCCATGACTAAATGAAATTTAATTGGGTTCTCACATTTGAGTAAACTCAGTCTTTATTATAAACACAAAGAGCTTTTAGATCAAAGCATATAGTGCAAAGACAGAGGAATGCAAGCAAATGAACAAGAAGGTCTACTACTGAAGGCCGCTCCTGTACCGAGGAAGCTAGGTTCCTCGAAGAATAAAGAAGACGATGGATAAATCTAGATTTAGTCATAAGAAACTAACAAAGTGTTTTAGTATAAACATATTTGAGCAGCTCAGGATATTAGGTACTTTTGAATCCCAAATTTATTAGACAAAAGACAGTGCCAGTTCATCGAGAGTTGGGTGTCTCAGAGGGGGCTTGGTTGATGGCCTCTTGGGTTTGCTCTTCACGCACTTTTTGGCTGAGACTAGGACTTGACTTGCAGAGTACTTAGCTGTTGGGTCAGAGGCCTTGGCTTTAGAGTTCCAGTAGATGGAGCTGTGTTTCTTTGTGGTGTGATTTGTATGAATTATTGTTGAGTGAAATCGAGGAGAAACTGCAGCCACGTTCTTTGGAAGTCCAGGAGAGTCTTCTCTGCTTGGTAAGAAACTCTTCAACTTTGGTACCACAAATGTGTGCATAGGCTTGAGGGCTGCAGACTTGTCAGTGAATGATTTCATAGTGGATGTTTTCATAGTTAATGGCTTACTGGACTTGTCTCAATTGATTGCCAACTCTACATGTTCAACAGCAAACTTACTAAATTTAGGAATTGAGGAGTGTTTGTTTCTGTATTTCTCAGCCAGTCCCAGCGACTTCAGTCTGACTACTGTAGGTTGGAACTTCTGAGTCTGAGGAGAACAACTATGGAAGTCTGAATCTGACTGTTTCTGCTGAAAACTTTTGTTGTGGGTGAAAGTCTTCTACAAAATAAATTCGAGTTACATGTGCATTGTCCAATGTGTTTCCAAAACTAAGGTTGACTTGAAACGATGCCTGGTGGTGTTGTGCTGACTTGTCAAGATTCTGGTTGAAATGCTGCTTCATGGTAGACTTGGCTCTGAGGCTTTTCTTCATAATCATCGACAAGTGTTTGTCGAACACTTTCTCAATGATGGACTTGTTCTTATGAAACCTGCTTTGACTCTTGTGTTTTTTCTTGTGTATTATGGACATCATGTCGTGAAAGTTCTGGCTTTCATTGCTCATCTTGGAGGCTCTGCTTGTAGGACTCTTGAAAGTAAACGAAGCACCACTTGCTTTCTTGTGGGTGGTTCCGCTTCTGTGGCTAGACTTGTGTCTACTTGTCTCCAGATTCCTATACATATTATTCAGATGCTCACTGCATGAGTTGTCAGTCCCATGTTTGAGATGGGTTTTCTACGTGAAAGACTGAGGCTTTTGAGAGTTTTCTTCTTTTTGTTCTTGAGCAGAAACAGGTGATATAAACTCTTGCGAAGTTCGAGGTAGAGTCCCTTGTTGATGTTCTCGCAACTCTTCTTGAACACGTCTGGCCGCACATTCAAGATAAAATTGGCTGTGATATTAACTTCAAATTACAGATCATTTGCCACTCATCAGACACATTCTTGCGAGTGGCGTTAGCCATTTTGAGACGCTTCTCTTGTTCATCGAACTCCATGAACTTTTTGTAAATGAGGCTTGTGTTGTAAGGAGTGATGAAGTAGTCAAGCTTGTCTTGCAGTCCTTCACCAGGATGCATCGAGAACTGCTTCAGCTGGTTGTTAGTCCACTCTAAACATGAAGTTACAGCTTTGTGTGAAGGAGAACACCCATTGTGATAAAATTGGGTACCTGAAGAGTTGTCTCTGGCTTTCTCATTGAAGTTGTAGTGTCTCCAGTTGGGTTTGTTAGTTTGAGACTTAGCCAGTAATTCTTTGTTAGGAACTGTAAAGGGTGAGATATGGCTTACTTTTGAACTTAATTTTACGATCATTTTTGCTTTTAGAGCTGTAAGTTTGAGCTTCCATTAATGTAATGTAACTAATTTTTATTCATTCAAAGTAATTTATACAAAAGGGGTTTTGGGGTTTTGGGGTTTTGGGG